TTAAATTAAAATAATCCAATACTTGGCTGGGCGCGCGAACGACGATTAAACCCTAGCCGTTATAGAATGCTTGAACTAGGTCATGTCGCGCACCTCGGACACGTGATGACGCGGGTGAAACCGCGGGGCACAGCTAGTGTAGAATAAGGGTGACAAACGAACACACAGTCCACCTGATGGTAAGTGGATGCTGTGGCCCATAGACATCTACATTTATCCTCGATTGAGAATCAAAATGCAGATATATTGTCAACCCTGTCTGAGATGGTGTCTCGTTCCCAGTAAAAAGGGTATTCGGTTCTCTACACTCACCATACGAAACAAAGCAACATTAAGCTGCTATTTCACGCTGGTATCATGTGAGAGCATGGTTCTTCCCCGGTTGAGCTGACCCATTAGTATCGACCATATGTGTGGAACTTTTTTGGATTACATCCATTTAGAAATAAGTATAATATATACAATAATAAAACAGTATCGGTATATATATCGTGTGATAAATATCGATATATCGGCATCATTTGCATGGTGTAAGGATAAGGTCCAAAATTTAACTTACTGACGGTTGGACGACGAAAAAGAAAAACGACAATCACACCTTTTGTTTCATGCTTTGCCCATTAATACATCATTTTAAAATATATCGAAATTCATACGAATTCGATACCCTAAAATAAATATCGATACATCGCGATTAAATATATAGACGATATACAGGGTATTTTTGGAACGCTCCCGAAAACTAAGACAGGCGACAGCACCAAGTATACTTTTGATCATGGGTCATAAATAAATTTGATCCTGATGAAAAAAAAACATATTTTTACAACGTTTTATTAGCTTTATTCACGCGTCATCATGTTAGTACAGCTAAATGAAACGATAATTTCATAAAAAAAATCATGAAAAGACTGAAACATAAAACCAGCAGTGGAAACTGAATTGATATCACCTGACTAATGGAGGTTAATGTACGCGCGAACGGTGAAAAAAGAACGCTGGCCTTGAACTTGGGCACTGAGCGATTTATCACATATTGGCCAGTATTACTGTGCCTGCATGCTATTGGTTCCCGCGCTTTGTTCGCTCCAAAAATACAGTCGCATACACAGCTTACTTTGCGACTCGCGACGATGTTTTAAAAAGGAAGGAAAAAAAATTATTTATATCTATTGTTTTATGACTAAACTAGTGAACGAAAAAGTGAATGGGGAAAATTGTGCAGTAAAGTTAAAATTGTTGAGGAAGAATACCGAAAAAATTAGCATGTGATCGACCTGATGACGGAAGCTCAAGCGAAGATGAAAGTGATGATGAAGTAGCATCCAGTAACACCAACACACCATCAACATCTGGCTTCCATGTGACCCAAGACGTCATAATGGACGGCGTGTCACCCTTAGCTTAAGTTTTTTTGTTACAAACTACTTTATATTTTACGATAGAAATAACAAACAATGCTCAAGTAAACATTATCTATTTTTAATTCCCACCTCTTCCAAAGTTCTAAGTAGCTAGTAAAACACCTATTATGATTCTACAATAAAACAATTAATTACTATAATATTATAAAACAATAGCCCAATACCATGTAGTACTTTAGAACGCGACTGTACCCACACTCACTCCGCTGTCGACCTGTATCTAGCTCGGTATGAAACAATGCTACGGTCATAAGAAAAAAGGGCGCATCTAACAATTTTCGAATAAATGAGTTAAATATACCATTCGACTCATGATAAGAAGACGCATCTACTAAATTTTTTTAATATTTACATACAAATATTTTAATTTTTAATTATTATCGTAGTAAGTCTTGTATGATATCCCCTTTAAAATCATTACTCAAGAGTTGCGGGTTGTTATTTTTTGTGTCTCACTACCAATGCTTTTCTAATATTTACTAAGAAAAAAGTAGTAAATTACTATTAGCGTCCTCTCAACTTCAAATGACCTTTCCAAAATATGTAAAAATGTTAAATGAATGGTAGTTTTGTTTTATTTATTAGGTTGGGAAGACCCAAATAGTTATATGCGTCTTTCCTTCGATGTTTTTGTGCTGCCAGGTGTATTTTTTAATCTAAGATGAAAAGGAAAATTCGTTTTATTTAAATAAATAAACAAATTTAAAAAAAAAATAAGTTCGTCCTTAAAATCTTCATGTCTCTACGTATATATTTCAATATAGATACCTTTTAATATACTTTAGACACGGGGTCTGAAAGAAAAATTCATCAATTTATTTTTTATTTCCATTTTACGTTTTTGTTAGTTACTTCCTTTTTTATTATGACGGCAGAATGCCTAACCCTGTCGCCTCACGCTTGTGACGCAGTAGGTTTCAGCCTTGACGGGGTTCGTTCGTTTTAGTTTTTGAGACAGTTCCGTGTTGATTTTGTACACGCGTGCGCGAGCGACAGTTCAATCGTTTTGTTTAATAAAATTACTTGTGATTACGTGTTGATATTAAAGTTTTTGTTACGTTTTTGGATTCTTTTTTGTTTTAATAATGCCTAACGCGTACGTTTATAGTGGTTATTATACTGCCGTTGGTTATTATATCAGCAACAACGTGTGCCTGGTTCCATTGAGCACATTATCTGGACGGATGAGTCGACATTTACCAGAAACGGCCTGTGGAACCGAAGAAATACACACGTGTATTCAGAGGTTAACCCGCACGCTGTTCGACAAACCGGGCACCAAACCCGATGGTCGGTTAACGTATGGACAGGTTTATTTAAGGATCGCATACTGGGACCAGTGTTTCTGCCAGAGCGACTGAACGGACAGCGATACCTAAACTTTATAAATGAACAGTTGGTTGACATTTTAAACGACCTATCGTTGGCTGAATATCGCCGCACATAGTTCCAACATGATGGTGCCCCTCCACATTTCGTGAGGTTCGTCCGTGAGCGCCTCAATGAGCTATTTGATGATCGCTGGATCGGCAGACTAGGACCACACGCTTGCCCACCTCGCTCACCAGATCTGACTCCGTTAGACTTCTTTTTGTGGGGTATGTGAAAGAAAGGGTTTTTAATCGTGAATGTGATAGTGCTGAAGAAATGCGCCAAAGGATCGTGGATGCTTTCGAGAAACTACGTACGGACTGTGTCGAAGACCACACGATGATGCCCCGCCTGCACCCAAGTCTGCCTTGAAATGAATGGAGCACAATTTGAGCCGCATCTCATAAGACCACGGAGGATTTAGAGCAGTAAGCTGTTTCATAACTATTTTTTTTTAAATAACTTAGTACTAGACTAATCTGAATAGGTACATAACTGAATACACGAGAATAATAAACATACCTACACGATGAATAAAAACGCATGACTCCAACCTTGGTTACATTTCATTTAAGTATTTCTTCATTAGCGGGGAATCGAACCAGTTATTTGGGTTATTTAACCTGTAAATTCGGATTAAAGTGGCTACGTGGAGATAAGCACAGTGGCAAAATAGTAGGTTAAGTAGATAAGTTAGGTATTTAGACACGTGTTGTAAATTATTAGGTATTGTGGGAAGGCCCGCTAGTTGCGGGCCGCGCGAATTTGTGTTCGCGCATACATTGACCTTTATCTAGCTCAGGTCAGGTGATATCAATTCAGTCATTCCACTGCTGGTTTTATGTTTCAGTATTTTCATGATATTTTTTATGAAATTATCGTTTCATTTAGCTGTACTAACATGATGGCGCGTGAATAAAACTAATAAAACCTTGTAAAAAGATGATTTTTTTTTCATCAGGATCGAATTTATTTGTGACCCATGATCAAAGGTATACTTGGTGTTGTCGCCTGTCTTAGTTTTCGGGAGCGTTCCAAAACCACCCTGTATATCGATGTTTTATAAGGAAATATAAATTTTTTTGCTCAAGTCTACATCCATTTGAAATGATCAGTTTAACTGATCGTGTGTGTCGTCGGCCATAAGAAAGACCAACGCTCTATTAAAGAACTACAGACTGATTTCTTTTCAGAGCCGTCTACGTGCTGTTTTTAAGAATTATTACAAATTACCCTCGCACTGAATCACACGCATTCTTGACGACTTCCACCTTCCCAAACTTGCCAGTTTTAAAAGGCTTTGTAACATGCGGATGAAGTCGGCCACTTACATCAAATTTACATAGCCGCGGAACGGAATGGAAGCGAATTTTTGTAACGAAATTAAATATAGTAAAATGTATTTTATTTTGTGTAACGTGCAAACTAGATATGAGCCAAAAAAGAAGTAATGCGTCTCCCGGAGAATTCTCGCGCATCCTCGAAAATTCCCGTAGCTATTATCGGCGCAGTCTGTGGAATCCGCGGGAAGTGTCCCGAAGGGTGACGCTTTCATTTCTTCTACAAATCATGAACCCAAATATTTATTTTCCTTTTTCTGTTGTTATTCCTTTTCCCATCATTTTCTTCTTCTGCCTTACAAATAAGCAAAATGAAAATAATATCCAATCAACCATTTTTGTCAAATAAAAGATCTTAAATAATTAAACCGTGGCGTTAGCTTTTAGGCGCAGGGAATGCTCGAGCATTCCCGCGAATTCGCGCGCCTTCCCGCTCGCCGTGGCGAAGTTGACGCTTCCGTTCCATTCCATTCCGCCGCAATGTAAATTGAGCCTTGGGCTGAGCCACGAACAGACGAGCCAGGTCATCTTTTGGTAGCTCGGGACTGTCTTTTGTGGCATTCCGTGGGGAAGGACTTTATTTAGTTTTATTGTGAATAGCTGTAATGATGATGATGATGTTGGAAATTCAATTGATTTCAGATGATGATTCCATGAGTTTTATTAGGAAGATGCTGCTGCCCATCTCCTATTTCAGTTTCCCTTCCTCGCCTCTTGACTGAATAGATTATAAAACTATGGAAAATAAAGGATGGGAAAGAAAGGAATAAAATAAATCCCTCATGGTGCTAGGTGTGTGACATCAGAACAATGCAAAATATGAGATAATACATATCTTTTGCATTTTTAAATAAATAAATAATCTACTTTATACTGCAAACTATTTGTGTATTATTGTTGCAACATTCATTTATAACAAAAATCTGAGCTTACAAAACTGTTATTTAAACAATAAATTAATACTTACAGTATATGTTTTTGAGATCTGAAAAATATAATGACATTTTGATTACATCATATGATAATTGTGGTATTCTTATAATTGCATTTCCACAGTTTTTGATACATTTCAATGATTATTAAGCCCTAACTATAACCTAGATACATTGGTTGCATGTTATCAATATGATAATACTCAACAAACTTTTTTTAAAAAAATCTCTCGACAAGTCTTACAATTTGCTGCTATAATGCAGATTAAAAATGCTTGCAAGACAATGATATAATGCATATAAATTAATTAAAACTAAGTAATAAATCATATATGTAGATATAAATGATATATAACATATGACTAATGCTAATATTGTTATATTAAGCAGTATACATATGACTAATCTAATTTTCGCATGCTTTAAGGTGGCTAAAATTAAATAAAGCAAAGTTCATGTGTATATAGTAACAGTATGTGTAGGTCGAATTTGTTCTGGCTGAACTTGGGTAGTCTGTACAGCATCTTGAGGCCTAGCCTGCTTGGCCTTTTTCCTCACTGCATCACTTTCAGCATAATACATACCCAGCCTCGTCTTTATTGCTGCTAATGCTGCACCATTAATTTCATCATGGAAGATGTTGGAGTATCTCCATTGTTTAACCAGTGGTCCCTTTTTTCTTTCCTTTTTAATTTTTTTCTGTGAATCATTTTTCACTTCATTAATTTCTGAATTTTGAGTAAATGAGATGTCACTAATAGCTAGTGTTGTGTCTTGGCTTGGTTCTGGTTTAGCTTGGAGCACAATAAAAGCTGTTGTAGGTTGTGCAGGTCTCGTGACCGTGGATTGTAGGAGTATACCCATACCTTGAGTGTTATTCTGAGTCTGATAAAAATTTGTTTGGGTTGCTGCTGTTGTTAAGGCTGTGGTTTGGTATTGATTTTGAAAATAATTCTCTGCTATATTAACAAGTTGACCACTGCCAGGATACAGGGTAAAAGATTCTTGAGTGGGTGCCTGTAGGGACTGGTGGCTTGGCTCACTCGGTAAAGCTATTTCCATGTTTCTTTTTGATTTTGGCATTGTAGCTGATATATTATCTGGATCATATGTCTTAATATAGTCCTTCCACATTTTAGATATATTGATTTCTAATCCAGCAATTTTATCCAATCTAATAAAATCTTTTAATCTATGAGTGTGCACAATGGAATAAATGTGACTCTTTATTTGGTCTATTACACCATTTGGAAGTCGAACTTCACCTGATCTCCTATGGCTATTTTTACCTCTATTATCACTAGGAAACATAATACCGTCATCCATTTTTTTGCAAAGGACTCTTACTTTCCTTTCTGTTATAGCATGAATGTTTTTAAAAGCTGTTTGACATACTTGGGTTTCCCTTCCTTTAACCCTGACAAAATATTCAAATGTACATGTACGGCGACTGCTTGTTTTGACTCTTTTTCTTTTTACATCCACTTGCCTCATCAAGCCAAATAGATAAGCATTTTGTTCGTCATGAGTTTTCATAGAATAAAAGCCTTGAAATGTTTTTAACCTGACATCTTCTGGAACCCTTTGGAAACATTTTCGTCTACAATTGCAGTCAGGTCCAGGTTGTTTTGGTGGTACTACTTTTCCATTTGCATTTATATACTCGAGTCCAGCTATTCTTAAACGTTTCTGTTTTTGTTTGTGCCATTCTGAAAGTACATTTATGTATATATTTATTTCATAAACAATAATTTATTATGCAAGCTAGATTATTATTAACCATTATATTATAATTAAATTAAATAACGGTACCTTTATCTATTCAAATGAAAGTTGATAAAATTTTCAATTTTAACGGTGTTTGTGTGATTTTTTTTGTAACTGTTTTCATGCCATACAGATGTGTAATAAATTCCTAGAGGAATGCTTAGATTTATTTGTTTAACGATTTTAAAAATGAATACATTTAATAAAAACATTTCAAATGTTTTGTTTAAAGTTACATATTAAAAAAAGGTAGTAAGAGTCATAAATTTATCAATTTAACATGAACTAAATGATAATTATAAAGTACATAAAAGTCCTTGTAAAAGAAACTGTAACATTATATACACAGAATTTAAAAAACTTAATGTTACCTTCCGGATTTCGTAAACGTTTCTTTACAAGTTTTCCGTTTTTAGATGTCTTTATTTTTCGGTCATTACTTGAGACATCCGCCATTTTAATATCAAAGCAAGCGAGGAGCTAACGAAGTGGGGAAAGGGAAATACCATAGATCGTAGAGGGAGTATAGTTCATTCTCTCTCTACGCCATAGATATATGTTGCTGTTAGGCAGCCCTACACACTCAATCTCGATTGCAATCACACAGTTCTGATCGCGATCATGGATCACGGGATCGCAGCACAACATTTCACATTCAATCTGGATTTCTTCAGTCCGTGTATCGTAACCGCCGCGTTAACAACGTCTGTTGTCTTGTCATATTAAAAAGTACTCTGTGGCCATGAATTTACATGAGGTTAAAGCTGCAGTATCACTTGTTTTGGCCCTTACTTTGAAGAAAAGGTTTCGAAAAAGGCAGTGGGTTAAACTGTGGCTACTTAAAAGAGAAATACACTCGCTTAAATCTACTAAAATAAATTCAACTAACTGCTGAAACTGACGATTATAAAATCTACTTCATGGGATGGGGAGAAAATGTTTCGATGAGTTACTATTTTATTTATAGGATAAGGGTGACAAACGAGCACACAGTCCACCTGATGGTTGTTGCTGTGGCCCATAGACATCTACATCTATCTTTGATTAAGAATCAAAATGCAGATGCGTTGTCACCCGTGAGGACTAAGACGGAATGCCTCGTTTCCAGTAAAAGGGTTTCCGGTTCTCTACACTCACCAAACGAAACACAGCAGCGTTAAGCTGCTATTTTACGCTGGTATTCTGTGAGAGCGTGGTCCTTCCCCGGTCGAGCTGACCCATTCGTGCTACAACCATAATATAGCTGCAGCATGGCTCTACCACGACCACGTACAAATGATAAATCCATATATTTTTTATTATATTTATATTATTTGTATTATATTTATGCTGGGGAATCCATAGCTCTGTTAAAGTTTCCAAAAGAATGATGAAATCTTCTTGTTAAAAAATTGAGGTAACGAAGGTGAATTCGCCGATTCAATCGGCGGCGACGGGGAGCGCGTGTCATCGACGCCCATTTTCATTGAAGCGCACAGCGAGACTGATGCGATCCTGCGCTTACACGTTCAATCTAGATTGCGATCTTGATTTCAAAATATCTAGATATTTTGTGATCAGATGCATCAATCCATCAATCTAATTCGTACATTATCAATCTGGATCGCGATCATTGATTTTGATCACCGATCGCGATCGAGATTGAGTTGATTGTACGGGCTGCCTTATGATTCACTAATTAATGAAGACAAAAGTCTTGTACCATACAGCGTAATCTGATATGATGTATCTATGACAAAATGCTTGACAATATGCTAATGCGGCACAATGTGAACTTTTTGGGAGATTTTAAAGGCACATTAACTCAACAGAATGTTTATGAGGAGATTATGTCAAGGCATCTAAACGGATAGAAAAATTTGAGATTTATCACTTTTTTGTATCAATATCCACTTCTTACCATTATTTTAACAGTAACACTGGCGCCTAGTCTTGTGCAGTTCGCGAACGATGAATGAATAGGAAACGTATCTTGCCACTGTATTAGAAGAAACGTTTCCGAATGCCGATTGTTAATCGGTCTAACAGTTCTTTTCGTTCACCTACACTCGCAAGACGCCAACGCTAAACCGTGCGTGCGAGCCATGAAGCAAAGAACGACTCACGCAAACAGATCAACCCAGAATCGGTCAGTAGTCATTCAAGGTAGACATGGCGTTAAATAAAATATTGGATATAAGGTTAATTTTATAGCAAATAATTATTACAATGCTTATTTTTAGACATGTGAAGCCACAATTTTAATGTAATATATCAAAAGAATATATGTATTGATGTTTTCAATGAATATTTCATTCGAATAACACTGCTTTGAAAATCGCCATCTACTCCATTCAACAGGTATTAAAGTCATTTTGTCAAATAAAAGTTAATTGATTCTCAAAGTGGCACGTAAAGAAGATGCTAGATGGTATAAATATAAAATTTAATATAAAATTATAAATCACTAAGGTAAGAAATCGATCGGAGATTGTTTTGAATGGACTGAAATGTGATAATTTTATTCATTATGGTTAATTTTACTTATTTAATAAATTTGTTATTTTTTTAACAGATTATTTTAACAGTTAAAATGTATATTAACCTCCTGCCTCTCTGTAGCTAACAACCCAAATCACCTAGTAAGTTTACAACAAATCCCTGCTGTCTGCTTATCATAATATGCAGTGGCCAATAAATTTATGTAGGTATAGATAAATATTTTATTGCAATACATAAAAATGTTATAATATTATCTTTATGCTATTGACTAGAATCACAGTCCTAAGCCTGTTCCAGTACGAAAGGAAATCAAATATTATGTTAAATTTTAAGTTAATAAAAATTTTTATCACACAACGTTACGACTCGAGCAAATATCGCCCCACTGAGATTGACTGCATTAACCTGTTTAAATTGCATCTATCAGTCTGACTGTTGACTAATTCAGTCAGTGACTGATTGAGATAACCATTCCATAAAGATAGATACAATTTAAGCAGGTTAGTAGTACTAATGACCGAATTGAATTAATAGAACGAACTAGTTCACTGTCCGTAATGTACTAGTACGGAACGATCTTTAAAAAGACCGACCAGGCACAAGACTACTGGCGGCAGTAGTCAAGTTCCCGTCAAAACGGAAATCATTTGTTTTGATTTGTTTTTAAAAACGTTACCTCCCCATTAGGATTTTCTCCTATATCGCGGGGGCAGTATAAACATCTAGACCCAGAACAATTATTTGTAGGCTATGCAAATACTTGTTCCGTGGGGAATTCGAACCCGCAGCCCTTAGCGCTGCAACTCATAGCTAAGCCACTGCGCCACGAAGCCGTCATTATTAATATACTATAATTAAAGACATTTAAATTGCTTTTTATTCCAATGATTTATATAAGTTCGTTATGAAATGATTAATTGCAATTTTAAGTGCTGACTTACCACGTGCTCGGCGGTGAAGGAAAACATCGTGAGGAAACCTGCATGTCTGAGGAATAAGAAAAAAATATTTCATTACTTCATGTAAAGTTCGCCAATACGCATTGGGGCAGCACTGCGGACATTTCCTTGCCCCAAAATCCTCTAAGAAATGAGAGGAGGCCTGTGCCCAGCAGTGAGACATATATAGGCAACTTTATATAAATTCGGACTACAAAGCATCTTGAATCTCACGGCCCTCCAAAAACGACCCCCGAGAAACCCAGATTCAACCTGTCGGACTAAAGTAATTGAATTTTTTGCACATCACTTGCAGCCATGGAATAGAATAGGTTGTTGTTCGATTCATATCCATTGTTATGGCGCGGTGACAACGTTGCCAGAATTTTCATATATTATTACAATAGAAAGGAATAATTTTTCATCTATATAGATTACAAGAATACTTATTGAAAGTTAAAAGTATAAACTTTTACCACTGGTTAGAAAAACCTTCTGTCCTGGAAAGAACCATCAAGAAATCCTACTTTTTCTCTAAATATATATGAAAACATTTAAAATCAGTATTGTAGCTATGATCTCGTTCCCAAGAGTATTATATGTATAAAAATAAAATTATGTCAATTAAATTTTAAAATTTTTGAATAGAATAGAATCTCTTTGGCGTTGAGTAACTAGTATAATTAAGCTTGTGCTTGTTCCTAGTATTTACTAGTACATTGTGTACATAACAATTGTTGTCAAATAATAAAAATATTCTTTAATTCGGATAGCATATGTCAATTGTTCATAAAGCTATTTTTGTTGTTGTGTACATTATACACTATATTTGCGTAAAAAATATACTGCGAAGTTAAAGTTAAAAGAGGTAAATTGAAGGCGTCTAAAAATAACAGCATAAAAATATCAATTTACGATTAGTACATGTCGTTGTCGTGTATTAATGTTGACCTTATAGAACTGAGAATTTGACGAATGACGACCTGTTACGCTTTGAGAGTTGTGGTCGGAACTTGACCGCCGGCGCGGAGCATTGCAGCGCCTGTTTCTTCGTTTAAAATAATACTCTGATGTGGATTTTGATACGTAGATATAGTGCGATTGTATGTATTAAACCTCCGCCCATGTGAACTATTAGTAAAACAGATCTAGCAAGTTATAATTATATATAAGATATATTCTGTCGTTGTAATCTCCCAAAAACTTTGCAATGTGACACATCAACATATTATTGTGAAGTTTTATAAACAAAATACAAATCACAAAAAATGTATGGTATGTTGATGTATGATCTTAAGACCTTTGCCTACCTTAATTAGCTAATGGTAACAACAACAAATGTTTTAATGGTTTTGAGCAAAGAGAATATATGTAATCACTACGTTTACTTTTGAGTTTTGACTAGGGATGCTCGATCTCGATGTTGTAGAAACATCGATGTTGACATCGACAGCTGAACATCGATGTTCGATGTTTTTTGCACATGTATTTAATAGGTTAGAATTAGATGAATAAAAAATTATTGTCATGTTGTTTATGATTTATTATTAATGAAATAAAAGAAAATAATAAAGAATGAAGTGTAAAACAGTAATTAAAAAAATTGAAAAAGTTCACAAATATCTAGTTCATTTGTTGTATAGTCCAATATTTTTGCCGATTGATTGAAGAAATAGTTATTTTGACAAAGAAGTATCTTTCAATCTGTTTCTCTATTGATGAAGAGTTCAGCCAGCTATTGAAAATAATTTAAAATAAAAATTTAGTACAGCTGACTTCAATATAAATTATTAAGTATAACTCAAAAACCATTAGTCAGACTTATATGGGTCAAACTTATATGTGTCCACATGACCAAGCACTAGCTTTCAAATAAAAAAGAATCATCGAAATCGGTTCACCCAGAAAAAAATATGGAGGTAACACACATTAAAAAAAGGACATACAGTCGAATTGAGTACCTCCTCCTTTTTGAAGTCTGTAGATAACCACTCAGATGGCGTTGATGTAGCCATTGTGGTCAAATATCTCACCGCATGATTTTTATTTTTATTTTAGATAGGTAGAACCACTGTCTTTAACGTGCATTAGATCGTGTTTAAGATCAACCATCAGATTTTTTTTAAAAACCACCGATAAAAAAATAGACAACCAACAACGACGCCGAGTTGACACGTGACAGTTATATTTGATACACCATAATGATATATTTTTAGGTTATCGATGCGTTCAAGCTTTCTGAATTATTCAGTTTAGTTGATATTAATTTCGCGGGTTCGCAAGTACCCAATAATCGATTATAGATTTATTGACATTGATGTTTCGATATATGACATGTGGTATCATCGATGTTATACAGCGCTGTTTTCATTTTTGACATCGATGATCATCGACATCCCTAGTCTTGACCTGTTTTGACTTTACGAGCTTTTGACATATACATATTTTTTATTTTGTAATACCATTTGACTGCACTAGTATTACAGAAGTATTTTATTTAAAACTTCTTCTTTACTAAAGTAATCGAATGATTTGTAGTGGTTCAATTTTATTTGTAATATATTAGAATCAATACATACGTCAGCTATTTGTTCAGTTCCGAAAACAGGTTAGCTACAATTAGAAATTTCTGGTTAAGTCTTTTATTTCCTTACACTGCACAGTAATTTAATCGTTATTTTCTCTTAGAATTGTTGATGGAATTATTATAACAAGCGTTTACATATCCTGTTCTATTAATTAAAATATTATGAGTTGTTTTTTTTTTACAATTACCATTACAATCATTTTATATGACTCACAGTCCCAAGCTTTTATGCCCAGAAACAATGTGGAAGGGAACACGCACAATGCACAAACCTCTTTAATTGCCTTAATGTTTTTAATCGCTTTCTTAATATATTAAATATGAGTATATAATTATATTCTCCATTAGTAGCCTGTTAAATGATAATAATATGTTTCTTTTCAGATAAAAATGTCTTTTCAATCCCCTATGCCCAGCAGGGAGTTTTTATGGGATATCTTTAGAAGGTAACATATTTCTATTTTAAAGTAGATATACTTTATTTTAAGTCATGGTAAATTATGGTGAGTGCGTCTGCAGTAACACAGAAAACAATTTCTGAAATTCTCAATTTTGTCTATGCTAAAATATAACTCTAGTACCTAAATCTGTTAATATTTATTTCTTGTTTAAAATTTACAGTGACTGTAGTGTGCTATATTGCAAAAGAATTTTTTTTATAGATTTGCTAAGAGTAATAATGACTATACACTGATAGAAAATATTAAAGTTATTAGGTATATTACCCCTTTCTAAAGATAACCTAGTGTTTGCTTTGATTTTTTGTTGTTTAAGCGATCTAGATACAATTTAAGCAGTTTTCTGATTTAAAAAGTGCTCAGTTGTAAAGGTATGTTGGACCATAAGAGTAAGTTTATTTTAACATGAAGATTACCAACACACACCACTCGAGCAGAGCAGTAAACTCTTGCTGCTTTATTCCCCACTCATCAATAATTGGATAAGCTGGTTTATGTTTCATAATTTATAACTTCAACTTGTAAAGGAATATTCTTTAATTTTTTGTTGATAGGAAGCTACCATGCATTATAATTTTTCACCAATTAACCAGGATGAGTTTCAGTAGACAATTCTGGTAATTAATAGACTGGCCAGTGATCTTGAATTTGCTCATTATTCAGTAGCATAACGGATAATTATATGTACAAAAAATTGAATTTTTATATGGTGATTATGGTAACTTTAATAGTAATCATTGATTTTAGAGGCAGTTCTATTTATTTTGAATTTTGATATTTCAGACCATGTTCATAATCCACATTATTGATATTTTTCTCAACTCCGGTTACATCCAGATTTCTGGGAAACAACCTTTGTACGACCTCATTCTAAAGTACCAAATCCCTTTCCATCCTCGGTTTTAGAGGGCTGTGCCATGTTGTGGCGATGGAAGAGAATCCATTATCCAATATCATCCCATGGCTGTCTTAAGAGGTGAAATGAAAAAACTGCAGTAGCCAAGCTACTCACCAACAACTGTGTGGCAACTATCCCAATGATAGCAAGTATAGAATCTATGGGCGATGCCTTTATTCAGGAGTGGATTTTTTTTTAATTGGCTATAATTAATTAATGAATGTATGAAGAAAATGTGTATGTATATGAAGATTGAATAACATCTACAGAATTTAATAATTATTATTTTATTAGCCTGGTTTCAATCTGATCACAGCCATACCACCGCAACAATGTTTTCTTCATTCCTTCACTGCTAAGCATATGGTAAAGGAGAATATAAATTACAATTAAGAAAGCATTTTTCTCTTATAATATTCTTTATTTTTACTAACTTTGTCTCCTCTCTTATCAATTGCTTTAATGAATCATTTTGTAACTGAATAATTGTTGAATGCTGCCTGTGCCCAGTTGACTGGTTTTCACCAGTGAAATGTTTGTAGGTAGATTTAGAGTGCTAGCTATAAAGTTTTTTATAAAAAGAGAGGCTCTTGTATGAAGAGGTTCTTTTATGGGCTGGTGACAATAATGAACAGGAATTAACAACAATAGCTTTTCTTTTTTATTCTGCTGTATGGTCAGTGATTCTGTATTCTGAAATAGTTTAGTTGTTAAATGTCAAAGAAAAAGACAGTGGTAAAATAAAGTTAAGCAAGTTAATAACTTGATCCAAAAGTGAAATGAGGAGTGGTTGTTTCCCTTGACGGTATTGCACTGATTGGTTGTTAGTATAACATATGCATAAGCAGACACATGTTAGCAAAAATGTTCCCAATATCTTCAGATCGTACAAATGCTGTAGTTCTTTTCTATTTTTCTGATTGGATATATAGACATAAGACACCTGTCCTTGCCCTCATGAGGGGAGTATGCGTGTCTGTCTATGACTTCTTAGCTCCTGAACGGATGAATCAATTTCAATTAAGTTTTCGTTTGAAAGGTGTCTTGATCAAGAGTGTTCTTTGCTATGTTTCAAGAAAATTGTTAAGGCGTTTGAAGATCATCAGCTCTTTTTGACTCGGGGGTTTTTAAAATTTAAAATTTGTTATTGCACGTAAATGTTGGCTGTGGTTAGGATTTGAATTGATAATGAAGTCTCAACTCAAAACAAAACTGGTTCATAAGATATTACATTTGTTTAACAGAGTTGATAAAGACCGCAGTGGGTATATATCAGCTGATGAATTGCAGCAAGCACTCTCCAATGGTACATGGAATCCTTTCAACCCAGAAACTGTCAGACTTATGATTGGTAAGCTATTTGGAAATAATTTACAGTATCTTAGATTCAAAGTGGTTGTTGAAATACAATATTTGATCATCGTAAGATATAATTTAAGTTAATTTTTGGAGTAAGTTGTTTGAAATTTTCATATTTAAATTAATCACTTCTAATTATTTATTTAAAAGTTAACAGTTAATGTGGTAAATCCGTGATAAATATTATTTAAGGTAAGGTAAGACCACTCAATCTAAATATACCCTTGTCTTCGGCACTGCATTTTGGTCACAGTAGCCAGTCTCAACGAAGACTAGACATTTGCGCAGGACAGGATTATAGTGCCAATTGTATGCACAAGCACAGGTGCACTCTCTATTCCCTCACTCTCATACTCTGATGAGACGGTAATCCGACACAACCGGAGAATCAGGCACAGGACCTACGGCTTTACGCGCTTTTCGAGACACAGGAGTGAAAACACCACCAACTTTCTGACTTCTGGATGCTACTTCGAACGTCTTAACCTAATAACTGATTTTGGCCTGACTCATCAATTCGAACCCATGATCAGCAACAGCGCTTACGATTACTTGACCAATGAGGCAGTCTCTTTGGCTATATGAATTTATTAAGGACTAGGAATTATATGTTGTTAATTATTCAGGTTTTTATAAGTGGTAGAGCCATGCTGCAGCTATATTAGTAGTATAGTTGTAGCATGAATGGGTCGGCTTGACCTGGGAAGGACCATGCCCTCACAGAATACCAGCGTAAAATAGCAGCTTAACGCTGCTGTGTTTCGTATGGTGAGTGTAGAGAACCAGAGACACTTTTTACTGGCATTCTTTCTGGCACATAAAGAGGCATTCTATTTTAGTCCTCACAGGTGACAACGCATCTTTATTTTGAGTCTTTATTGAGGATAGATGTAGATATCTATGGGTCACAGTAACCACTTACCATCAGGTGTACTGTGTGCTCGTTTGTCACCCTATCCTATAAAAAAAAAGGTTAAAATCCATTTTGTTTTTTATCACTTAATTACTGGTTTAAAAGTTTAAATATGACATAAAATAACAATTAAGTTGTTATATTTAAAGATGAACAGTAACATTAATGATAATTAAATATTTTTGTCTTTTACCAGGAATGTTCGACAAGCAAAATAGGGGCGTTATATCGTTTGAAGACTTTGGAGCTCTATGGAAGTATGTCTCAGATTGGCAGAACTGCTTTCGTTCATTTGACAGAGACAATTCAGGAAACATTGACAGGCAAGAATTGAAAAATGCACTCACTGCATTTGGATACAGATTATCTGATGAGATTGTTACAATTATGGTGCAAAAATTCGACAGATTTGGCCGTGGCACAATATTGTTTGATGATTTCATTCAGTGTTGTATTACATTATATGTAAGTGTTCAATCATTTATTCATACATTTATTTATTACATGCCTATAAGGCAATCAATTGGAGATTAGCAGGCGGGTTATTAACTGCACTTTTTATTATTTTATTGCTTTAATATTTTATTAAGAGATATTGCTAACGATTCCTGTTTCATTCGCTTTGTCGCCTCTTACGACACTCGATAATGAGGGTAGTGAGATTCTCGCCGCCACTGCATGGCGATGTGTAAGTTATAACTGACTTTGTATTTTATTAAACTAATTTATATGTAATATGTAGCAATCATATATCCCACTATAATAAAGATTATGGATTACATTTAGAAAAGATATCAAATGTCACTTGAAGTAGGGGACACATTATTATACTATAGTACATAAATTTTTGTACATAAATTGTAGTATCAACATAATTTTTCTATATGTCAATATTTTAGTTTGGGAGAAATTAATATTCAATAAAAAATATTTTCTTATCATTTTGAAATAATTAAAAATACAAAAGATTCTTGCAGTAAAACAATATCTAAGTTTATTTATCAGTATAATGTATATCAGTAATATTCTTTTTAATTTTCAGACTCTCACCTCGGCATTCCGACAATTCGACACTGATCAAGATGGTGTTATAACTATACACTATGAACAATTCCTCAAAATGGTGTTTGGTCTTAAGGTATAAAAATATGGATCCTTATTATGTCTCATTAAAACACGTTATTATTAGATAGTGGCCTTTTTAAAATTTTAATTTTTGTTCTATATATTTCATTATGTTATATTTTGTGCACAAATAGATATAACGTTTCACAACTTTTTTTACTGAATTCGAAAAAGGATTTGGTTATCACATTGTCTATGTTAATGTATGTAACAATATCTCCAAGTTGAGTTTATGGATAAAGCTGATGTTTAAGTACTGGTTGAGTATATTTCCACAATGGTCCAATCTATATAAATTTCAGCTAGATCCAACATGAATTAAAGTTATTTAAATTTTTGTTAGAATATTCCAATAATATTAATATCTTATACATTAGTAAAAACAATAAGGTTCTTTTTTAGATGATAAATGTAATTGATATAATTAGTAAGTTTATTTCAATAATCTATGCTTTTGTGATGTAATCTATAATCTATACCTGCATTTAAAGACAACTTTTTAAAAAATCGTGTATGTTTTTTGTATTATTTTTCCATTGCATTATAATTATGATTTGATGATGGTTATGCATAATTGAACTAGAAATTGTAAAAAAGGATGTCTTTTTTTTCTTTAAGTAACAGGAGAAGTATAATTATAATAAAGTCATTTTCATACAGCTTTGCTAAAACGAGCCCTAAATTAATGTCTTCCACCTTAAAACTTGGTTTCAAATCAAATTAATTGAACAAAAAATTAGTAAATACCTATTGTTTACATAGAATGATATTTCATTGTTTAAAGCTACATATAAATTTATGCTGAAAAGTGTGACAATCTTTTTAAGTATGATTGTTGATATATTTTGTATAAAATAGAAAAGGACACTTTTAACTTCAATAGCCAGTTGTTTAGTTATAAAAATGGAATTAAACATACATAGCCTGGCTTATTGAAATTGGAAGCAAATTAAAAATATACATCAAATGTAATATTCATAAAATCAAAGTAATATTTCACATATTATTGTCAGTAACTGAGAAATTTCTCTTCCGTCCAGTGTTGGCCGTAAGCATCGACGTTGCCATGGTTGATAAACTCCCACAAAGGTTTGGATTAATTTTACATAATAATTCTTTTTTACCATTGTTGCATTTAGCTTTTATTTAACTTTGATGTTGTATAAAAAACATAATGTTAAATGATTTACAATATATTTCAACTTTTTTAAGATAACTAAAATGATTAAAATGAAACTGCCACAGTGATAATCAATTACTAGTTTCTTTGCGCCAAAAATCTCCAAAATGTTCAAGAAAATGTGTTAGAAGGTGCTTATTTTAATGTATTTTTCTTTCATTGAAACTCTTATGAACATTAGCATCCGTGTACATTTAGATGAAATCCATTTTTAGTTTTTGCATTACATTTGAGGCATGGATAAAGTTGTAAATTAAAAAAAAAAAACTAAAACTTAGTAATAAACATTGGCAAGTTACATTTTATGGTTTTCTATGCCTAAGTAAATTTTGAAACGCTGAAAAAGTAAGAACTGCATTTTCTTACAACATTAAACACAGTTTGAATATAATCTAGAATCTGACCTTGCAACTTAATTGACTGAGCCTGTTTATATATTATTCATTCATATTCAGGAATGTGTTCGAAAATTGTTTTGATAATGTATGTGTGTGAGTAATGTAATCCTTTTATCTGCCTGGATATGTTACATTTGTTTCAATTATTATTATTGAATAACTATCAGCGCATGTGAACCATTAGTCATAATGAAGAAACAAGTGCTCCAATGGTGATGTGAACTTCAAGTTATTGTATGTTTTGTCGCCTTGAGAGACTCGTAGACTGTCTGCTGGATCAAGCTGCCGGCAAAATCTCCCAAAATGTTCGCAAACTGACGCATCAACATATAGCTAAGAAATTTTGAAACAAATTATTATAAAGGATAATTTCTTATTACTTAATACTGGCAAAAGTATGAGTCCATTACCAAAGAAATCAAAACTTTCATAAACTAGCATATGTTGTGACAAACTATCACTTAATGCTTTCTTCCTCACTACCGACCATTGTCCAATTTTATTGGCTACCAGCAGCGATTATTCCGGACTGATACGAGTTAGGGACTTTTTAAGAAAAGGGCCTACTCTTTTTTAAAAGGCCGGCAACGCACCTGAAATTCCCCGGTGTCGCAGTTGTTCATGAGAGGCTTAGTCGCTTAGCATTCTCCATGCCGCATGCTCGTTTGCTCCTCTTGTATAAAAATAAACTAGTGATACAACTAACTCTATGGTATACACATTGTTTCCATTTCATTTGCATTGCTTGTCGGTTCGTTACCTCTTGCTCGCATATTCGGACGCAACTTAAGATGTAGTGGAGACCTTTCATAAACTCATACCAACTAATTTTCAAAAATAAAATATTTTCATGAACATGAAACGGTGCTCCCCTCACCTCGCAGATAATTTTTCTTATTGTATGTGACGATAGGTAAGGTTAGGTTTTCAAGAGTCATGATAATACCTAATACAATACACCCAAATCCAAACTACGGTTTACTACCATTTTTGTAATGCATTAATATTGGTTTCAGATGGGATAGAAAATTTTAACATTTTATATTTATAAAAGAAAATCAGTTTAAAATTTCATAATATTATGTTGTTTTGCATGAACACTTTTGTTCATTTCCACTCTTGTGTGCGACGTGACTGACGTTACAGCCGTGTTCATATCACGATCATTCCGCGTTAGTTAGTATTCGTCAACTTTAAATTCCTATTGTATATTACTTGTGGCTTTTATTTCATTACATTTTAGGTAAATATAGATCTTTAATATTATGTTCTCAACACTAAAATTTCACTTCGTTAAGATCTAATTATACAGTTAAGACGATGCCAAATGTTTTTGGATTTTTATTTTTATGATTTATTTTGTTATTTATTATATTTCTTCTTACCTTAAGTACCTTATTTGGATCTGTGTGTAGATTATTACATCAGTTGCCTCAGACACATATTTTACAATTTAATAACAAGTTTGGAATGGTACCTAGTTGCCTTATGGCATTCTATATAGAAAAAAAAACTTATGGAAAGTCTCAAATATTTGCCAAATTTTATATAGTAATATTGGTACTTGTAAAAGTTCAAAAAAGCTCAAGCAATTTTGAGCTTATTTTTAATGCATGAAATTTAATGAAATTTAATGGATGAAAAAAGCAAATTTTGTGAAAGTCAAAAATCTAAGGCATCGCTTCAATAAGTCTGAAGGAGATCTTGTAAGAAATTGCAAGAAACTCACAAGTAGAATATTTTTCTCCGACCAGTTACTATTTTTTTATAAAAGTAATATTATGCGAAAATAGTCTTAAGTAAGCTCATTATGTCCATACATTTTTATCTTTTGAATAAATCATGTTATTTATAACTATTTTTACTTCATCAGAGTGCTTTTTACATGCGCTTTAAATTTATACATCGTATACTTGGGAACAACAATTTTATATTTATTGCACGTGTTAAAATCACGGCACCACTTATTTTATCAAAGTTATTTCAAAAATACACTTACATAAATAATATTATCCAAAATGAATTGTAATGCAATAGTTAAGATATTTATTTCTTTGGAAGTCCCTCACTTGGTCTAATATTGTAAAATAACATATATATAACTCTTTTCAGTTGTATAAATATATATTCAATATTAGTTGCTGTTCCCTACAGTAATAATCCATACCATAACACTATGAAAATATCTACATCTGTTAATTAATACAGTGGACTCCCGGTAATCCGGCCACTGTCTAATCCGGCACCCCCTGTAATCCGACATGGTCTATTATTTATTTTAAACATTTTTGGACGATCTTCGCAAATGCATGATTTCAAATATGTCAATCAAAAAAAAATTGATGAATATTTTCATGCTTCTTAAATTGATTGATTCATAATTTTTTATTATTTTAGTATGTACATTTGTTTGTACACAATTATTTCCTAATGTAAAGTTATTGCATATTTTTTGTAAGTTCTATAGCATTAATGACGTTAATTTTATAATTAAATGTAACCTCCCAATTGTGTTGTTTAATTTACTAAATTTGACATACATAATGAAGTATAATTTGTACTTCAGAGAGAGACTTTATATATATAATTATATATATATATATATATATATATATATATATATATATATATATATATATATCACAAATATAGAATCTTATCATTTTATCTGGTATTTGTCGGATTGCAAAGTACTCTTTTATAAAAAATTCCGGACTATACCGGGTCTTAGGCAGTACCTACTCTATAATCCGACAAATTCGATAGTCCGACACTGCCCTGCAAAATGTTTGTCGGATTACCAGGGGTCCACTGTAGCTTTACTTTTTGAATCGCATACACGAGGCAATAGTGATATACCAAGAAAGACTGCAATCTACTAATTCAAGTAATTCATCATTCAACTTAATATGATTAGAAACCCACCTTTGTAAAGAAAATTTAAGGTATTGTGAACTTAGAACTTTTTTTATAAAATAATGTGTAAAACTATGCAACAGAAATATTAAAAAAATAAATAAAAGATGTATTTATAAATTGACTTTCATTTAATCACAATAATTATTGTAACTTTACTTGAAAAATAAAATCTTAACAAAGATGCGCAATAGAGGTATTATTATATAATATTAAGATGTAAATAAATGCTATGAAAATACAGCTGTCCTTAATCTATTTTATCATTTTTTATCTTCCACGCTCCGATACTGTATTTAAGCCAAATAAGGCCGAGATCACACCCCATTTGGATCCACGAAAGTACTGGAGTTACTTTAGATCCTTCTATCTCTGTCCATCGAACTGGAACTTCTGCTATTGGAATGTTTAATTTTTGTGCTATATACAATAGTTCCACGTCGAACGCCCTAAAACAATATTATGCCAGTATAAGGGTCAGATCAGAACTCATGATGCAATAGTTTTTTACACATGATGATTTTTTGCTCTTGAAAAGTACATATAGGCATCGATTGTGATCGTGTGCATTTATTTTGTGCAGTTTGATGTATAATATCGTAAAATAAAGACACTACGTTTACAAGCGAGTTCCTTGAAATAAATAGTTATCCGTGTCAGGAATTAACACTCAGTTGAACCGCTTAAGCTAGGGTCCCACGGCCTGCCAGGCGACAGGCCGCGCCAGGCGTTGCCCCGCCTGTATGGGCCTGTCGCGGCCCGTACTGAGCGTTCCCACGGCGTGTGCCGGCCTGGTGCGGCCTGTCAACTGACATTCCAACATGTGAAGTGATACGGAGCGCATGGCTGCGTGTGCGGCCGCGGTGGTTTTATTCAGTGGTGAACGTTTGATAAACCAAGCAAAAATAAAGCAGAAAAAACGACGCTGGTGGGTGTCATCATTCAACAAAAGCCGTTCTTGTTTTTATGTTGAGGTGACGAACTATTCAAAAGGGCTGGTTCATTTTCATAAAGAGTTAAAAACTCGAATATAAGCTCGTTCGTCCATTCCATAATGAGCATGTACGCGCAAGCGCCACCGCAGTTGAAATGAACGATTGCAACCGACGCAGACGCGCCCGTACAGGCCGCGACAGGCGCCGTCGCGCCGCGCCGCGCCGCGCCTTTGATCTTACCGACTCCCGATGGATCGGACGGGCGCCAACAGGCCACCACAGGCCTCATCGGATGCAATGGTTCCCACGGCCTGTTGTCCGGCCTGGCGCGGTCTGACCTGTGACAAAACAGGCCGTGGGACCCTAGCTTTAGATACGGACTTTTGTGTCACGCCGCCTTGGCACGTGCCGCATTTTGTCAAAGGCGCCGCCACGATATCACAGGTCTCCGCATGCGGCGTAATGAAAGGTTCTTTGCTACCTAATTTGTTTTTATTATTTATTTATTTTTTCTTAGAATAGAAAAACATTTATTTAACAAATACACTAAAAATAACAAAAGTAAAAGCAAAATAATAAGTACGCCTTCATAATAAAATAAAAGCAAAATAATAAGTGTTGGAAAAAAGGTTCTCGAGTGGCGGCCTCGTACCGGCGGACGAAGTGTAGGCCGTCCCCCCACTAGATGGAGTGACGACCTGGTAAGACATGCAAGAAGTCGATGAATGCAGGTGGCCCCGTACCATGCTTTGTGGCATTCTTTGGGGGAGGCCTATGTTCAGCAGTGGACACAAGTCCACAGGGATGGGCTGTAATGATGAATAAGTGCGCCTTCGGGTACTATCTTAGCGAACAGACTATACGCTACGCCGCGGCCGAGTACGTTAAGTACTTTGCGTACTTTGACGGACAAGGTTGTGGATATCCAGTAACAAAGGCTTCTACTATGTGTACCACTAGACGAGCACTACGATACTTATAACACTAAATTACGGTCAACTCTCCGTAACTTTCGTTTTGTTTGTTTAAACTGCGAAAGTTGTTTTCGACAATCTAACATTGATTTTATTTAATGGAACTACGAAAACGCTGTCATTATTATGTGCGAACTTTGTCAACGTGATTGTAGGTTAATTTGGATAAGTTTAGTAGTACTATATTTCGTATTTGCCTGAAACAGTAACCTGTCGTAAATGAAAATTACAATTGCGTAGCACATATTTACCGTGTCAGCTACCGCTGTGAAACGTTTTTTGTTCTAAATTGTCGGTCAAGTAGTATAGGTACATAGAAGTCTGTGTCCCGTAAGTGCTTTTTTATATTAGAAAGATAAGCTAACAATGCTATGACCTGCTGGTAAGTGGCAACTGTAATATAAGGAACACTGCAACCAATTTCAAACAAAACTTATATTTCATCCTGACTACTCAGAACTTGACCATTATCTGCACAGGTCCATACAGGCATCCTCCATACAATCAATATCCATACACCATACAATCAAGGCATTCAATTTAACCCTTATATTAATCTGATGTAATAAAGTCGAAAGTAAGCTTAAAAGCATTACCAGAAAAGGGACAATTATATAACACATTAGTATATACAATAGCATTCATGCAGAGGCAAAAGTAAAACTCAATAAACTCCCATTTCTCACAGCGTTATATAGTATGACGACGGCCTGCTACACTGCTCCAATGATTTGCACATGCATGTGTTTTCAGCAAGATTTCTTTAAAAACAAGAATAATTACCATTAACAATGATGGCAATAGGAATTAAAGTGGTTCGCAGTGTACAATGAACTATGAGGCGAGCAACTGTTTCAGCTACCATGAATAATGAATGCAGAAAACCAATAATGTGAGTCCGCACAAACATCAGATCCTATCGGTAACTCTATTAAAATAAGAATATAGTCGACAGTTGTCTGTTAGATTAGTTTATTGTAAGTACTTCTTTAAATCATCATAATGAAATGATGATAATGATAATTTCTTTCATTAATAGTGTCTAACCCACTATGAATTTCGCGATTCTAATCCACTATGAATCACCTTGGTGAGTATCGCGAAAATCTTTACAACACAAGCACAAATAAGTAAAGTTTAATGTAGAATGCTATTTACCATCGGTTCACATGAAGGTTTTGAAAGCAAATATCCGCTGCTTTTCTTGTAAACAATTTAAAACCGCATTGTGTATCCTTGATACCTTTCACTGTAAACAACCATACTAAGAAGTGGAAGCCGTACATTAATATGTTCCTGAAAAAAAAAAGAATAAAAAATAGCAACCAACCAGTAAGAGTAGTCATAGATATATTAATTGACATGAGAAGATCAAATATTTTTAAGCATTCACTTGTGGAAAATGGATATGTTTGTTCCAAATTATTTAAAATCATGTATTAAGTATGAAGTGGTCATCTTCTGCTAAATCAGAAATAAACATAGAGGATTACATAGAGGGCATAAAACATAAAATAACTACCATGTATTATTATTACACCACCATAGTGTAAGAATATCCACTAGCCCATATCGTCTCGACGGTGCCGTAAGAGGCGACAGAGGGAAATTGAAACAGGAGATGGGCAGCAGCATCTTCCTTATGACAACTCAAAATAAGAAAAAACTGTGGTTGCCAACACTCTTGCCAAGCGTGGCAACTATGGATAAATGGGGGGCCACGAGGCAATATATGAGGGAGGCTTATGTTCAGCAGTGGACTTATATAGGCTGTAATCTATTGATGAAAAAAATTACCACATAAAGCTTCTGAACTCAAGGGCTTTTCACTATATTTTAGCACCGACGTCTGAAATTATTATTATTCGACGTCAATTTATTGAGTTTTATTACGTAATTTGTTGTTTCTTACAGAAAGTTTCATAACTAAAATTTTTTGACAATAATAAATGGCCCCTCTGTTTGTGTAGTAAACTTTCTTAGATTAGTTAGATGTGATGATTTTATGTAAAGTAAAATCATCACATCAATCATCGAATAAATTTCATTGCTTAGTAATAATTCAAAGCGGAAACAGTTTAAGAATTCAAAACAATTATGTATCATGATTTGGTAAATAAAACAATTTGCACTTGTAATGACTACTATACCTGAAAAGACTTCTTTTGGCTAACGATTCCTTTTCTAGATGAGCTCTAGAACCTATAGATAAAGCAACTTTGTTACTAATAAGACCTGGCTCTGTAACTGGATCGCATTTGACTATATTTTTTAAAGCTGCTTCCAATTTTACTAAATCTTCAAATTTAGATGCTCCATCTGCATCAGCGAATAATATTGTAGCTCCCCTGGAGCTCTGTACACCCTACAGATTGAGGTAATTATAAATAATAATAAATACTTTATAATATTGCTTTTTGTACTTTAATTTTAATATCATTCTTTGTATAATTTTCTCAATGGGTGTATTTTGAAATAAGGAATTCCTGTATTGCTCACGGGTAAACGATTTCTCTTAAATTTTCAAAATATTCCTTTCAAAGATTATCAAATATAACAAACATATTTGCATTTTTTCATAGGTATAGTTTTGTGGAGGTGTAACAGAAGCCACTACCCTATATTTCCTGTGGGTGTTATAAGAAGTGACAGAGGGAATCTGAAACAGGAGGTGGGCAGCAGCATCTTTGTGATAGGATAACTCATCAATGCAATTCATCCACACAGTCTCTTACAACAGTGATGATAACAAACAACAAAACCATGGTAGAGCGTGGCAGCTATACTGGACTTTGATATACTGTAATGATGATGGTGATGATATGTCAGATGTTCACCATGATGTGCAGACCCAGACTGTTGTTGGGGAGTAGCAAAAAGATGTGAGACTTCTGTAGATGTGATAATTATGGCAGTTTTTTTTTTATAAATTGAGAGGATTTTGTCTAAATAATAACTTGAGACATGCAGGCAATCATGAACAGGAACACAGGACTATGTTTTCGGGCTATTGATAGAGGAAACTTATTTTCAGTTGTGGGCTTGAGACATGGGTGTAGTGTAGCACACATAAAATAGTTGTTACTGCTCTGAGTGTTTTCCTTATGCCATAAATATCAAATTTTTTAAGTAATCGGTACATGTGTCAATCGTGAACGATTTGTTCTTTGACCTGGATCATGTAAAAGTATTGATGATTGCATTCATATTTTTTAAACGATCTGAAACAAATAATTGACAGAACATTTACAACCTGTGACCTATGATTGAACGTATTGCGGTTATTGTGAATATGAACGTGTATGCAAATATCATTTATTCACAAATAATGTAGGTGTTTTACAATGTAGCTGTTAAGGAGTTTAAAAAAAGCCGTGTCTGCCTGAGTTTTAGCATGCAAAATTGAATAAGATATGAAGATATCTCTAAAATTTTAAAATAATGATGATAATAATACAATACCAATAATTAATAATATATTTTAACAAGTCTAAATTTAGCACAAAATTAAATATCAAATAATGTTAATAATATTTTATACGTGGTAGAGCCATGCTGCAGCTATATTAGTAGTACTTATAGCTGTAGCAGGAATGGGTCGCCTCGACCGGGAAAGGACCACGCTCTCACAGAATACCAGCGTTAAATAGCAGCTTAACACTGCTGTGTTTCGTATGCTGGGTGTAGAGAACCGGAGACCCTTTTTACTGGAAAAGAGGTTTGTCCACGTCGAGCTGCTTGATAATAATAATAATATGGATGCATCATCCGAGATCGTCAGTAATGAGGCTGTACTTGCCGCGGAAGCATGGTGGGCGCGGCTTTTTAAGCACGCTTACCATGCATAATCGCGAAGTGTGCAGCCTCCGTAATTACTTTCTGACGAGAGCGGATGATCCATACTATAGGGACGTTATTTCTTGTGATAAATGACTGACCCCTCTATCCTTAGCCAACGAGCAATGGCAAGACCCAGCAGTACAGTGCATTTCCGACCGGGAGGCCGTATGGAAGGAGAAGGAGCTCCACGGGAGGTTCTACAAGGCTCTACATGAGCCTTTCGTAGACACAGTCGCCTCCCTTCACTGGCTACGTTTCGGTGACCTCTTTGGGGAAACCGAGGGTTTTGTCTGTGCGATACAGGATCAGGTTATTAAGACCAACAATTATCGGAGATACATCCTAAAGGATGGCGCCGTCGACATCTGTCGAGCTTGTCGCCATCCCGGTGAGTCACTTAGGCATGTCATCTCCGGTTGTTCGGCGCTTTCTAACTCTGAGTATTTGCACAGACACAACCTAGTAGCCAGGATTCTACACCAGGAGCTCGCTCTGAAATACGGTCTCGTGGATCGGAAACTGCCATATTATAAGTACTTGCCGGAAGCCGTGCTCGAAAATGACCGCGCCAGGCTCTACTGGGACCGGGCCATCATCACAGACAGGACTATTCTTGCGAATAAGCCTGATATTGTGCTGATGGACCGGGCACAGTCAAGGATATTTTTGGTCGACATTACCATTCCCTATGACGAGAACCTCGTGAAAGCCGAAACAGATAAGCTGACAAAATATCTGGACCTGGCTCACGAGGTGACCGACATGTGGGGTGGTCTACCGGCCGAAATTATTCCTGTGGTCGTTTCTGCGAACGGGTTAATCCCAGTTAGCCTCTCGGGTCATCTGAGGCGACTGGGACTCCGTGACGGACCGCTCCAAGCTCAAATGCAGAAGGCGGTGCTCCTCGATACCGCCCGCATCGTCCGCCGGTTTCTTTCCCTTTCCCCCTAACCCTCGGCCGTTTGGTCTCCCCTGCCGAGGGCTTCCATCTGGTTGGGTTTTTATATATTTATGTATTTTTTATGTATTTATTTTATTTTATTCATATTTATGTATGTTTACCATTTTCATTTACAATTATATATTTATACTGCCCAACCAGATGAGAAAACTTTATAGATACCCCATAATAATAATAATATAATAAATTATTTTCTCATCACATTAAATTAACAATATCAAATTTTTACAAAAAGGCACAAAGTAATGTGAGAGACTGATGTCTTAACTTGGCGACGGCCCTGTATTTCAGGTAATCAGGTCTCCTTCCCAGTTGACAAATACAAAAGTATGTAATCTTGGAATACATATTGAATGACTTGATAATTCGAGAACCCGTCCCGCTCTTACCCACCTGTCTCTAAATAGTATCGAATTTAGCAACTGAGGGAGCCGCCTTGTTTAAGAGATTAACAATATTACAGTTACTCATTCGAAAAGCATCCAAAAAACCATATTTAAATTATCGTATAGATGAAATAAGCGATATCTGACATTAAAAAACGGTCGCATCCAGAGTCTTCTGCGTTTGCTTCTCTGTAGTAACAATACGAACAAGAGCGTAGATATATTCTTCTGAATACAATTTGAAAGATACTGATGATGAGCCCAAGACCACAGTCGATCAGCTAAAGCTACACTATCACACCAATCGATCGAAATTGATCGACGTCGATCAATGGCATCGATCGATCCATTGGAAGCCTAAGGCAAAAATGCTCATGTGTAAGTGTGAGTTTGAGATAATCATGGAAACAACTTACAACTCTAAAATATTATTTTATCTTCCATGGTACATGTATATGGGACATATTAGTAAATGTTATTCAGAATATTAATCATTTACACACTGTAAAGTTCATACCACTATGTATATATAAATACATATTAAAACGGTAAAATAAAATATTGGTTTATGATCAATCAAAACTGAATGATCTGCGCTTGTAAGATGCGATCAACCAAAGGGTATATAGTAATGATCAATGACCGACAGAACCGAGCAGATCTCACATATCAAACAGTACGGAAATTCACAGGCAAATTACGCATTAGACGTGTAGTTGCGGAAAATAGCCCGTCGTAATCTAATCAAACCCGAAATGATCCATTTGAATGATCAATCCAAATGACCTGCAGGGCTATTCACAATCGTCTCGGAAAGCGAAATCGACTCGGATTCGATAACTTCTCGCACCGAAACCAATAAACGCTATTAACATTTAACGTTCGGATAAAGGTGACTTAGATACATCCTATAACTATTGTGTCGTCATTTAGTTACATGCATTTACGAATTTTGTAGATAAATAGGCTTTTGTAATTTTTTAGAGTAACGCCTGCACAAAAACATAATGCAATATTTTGGAGTTAGCCATTGATATCGAATATAAAAAATATATAATTTAACTATATAATAAATAACAAAAAAACTGAGATATGTCTCGTTTCTGTCGGGTCTGGGTTTTTTTCTATGGGGCGTTCTTTGACGTTTGTTTTCGATAATTGTGACAGTTTGCATCGGAAACTTTACGAGAGCTCTGAGGCTGGCGAAAACTTTTCGAATATTGATGATTAGAATAGATAAATAAACCCTTTTAATTATAAGGTAGGTAACAAAAATTAATTACAATTATCTATAAGACGTATTTTCATATAATTACTTCAATATTTGCACTTAATCGTAAAGCTGAATTTTTGTGAAAGGTGTGTTTTTATAAGTTTTCTATCACAAATATATATATATATGCTGCTTTGTGAAACGAGACATATCTCAGTTTTTTTGTTATTTATTATATAGTTAAATTATATATTTTTTATATTCGATATCAATGGCTAACACCAAAATATTGCATTATGTTTTTGTTTAGGCGTTACTCTAAAAAAATACAAAAGCCTATTTATCTACAAAATTCGTAAATGCATGTAACTAAATGACGATACAATAGTTATGGGATGTATCTAAGTGACCTTTATCCGAACGTTAAATGTGAATAGCGTTTATTGGTTTCGGTGCGAGAAGTTATCGAATCCGAGTCGAATTCGCTTTCCGAGACGATTGTGAATAGCCCGGCTGGTTCGTATGACAAAACAATACTTGAACACAATCAGGTCACTCGAAATGAACAATTGACACATGTCTAGTAACAAGGCTGTTATGACCATAAATATTTATGAACATTAATGTTAATTTAAAAGTTTATGTTCCGTTTATAATATTTTATAAAACACATACCAACCGCACAGCTCCCCCTTTTCCTCGATTTTCAATAAGTTCAAGACATCTCAATTTATCAATTCCATACTTTTCGGAGTATGCTTCTGTAACTTTTACAGTGTTATCCGTACTTCCATCACTGACTACAATGAGTTCATACTTATATTTGGGTTGTTCTTTTATTCGGTTCTCTAAGAATTCCAATGCTTCATCAAGCATTGGAGGTACTGTAAATAGAATGTTTTTTATTATTTTCTGGTATAATTAAATAAATCCAATAACTTTTTATATATACCTACAAAACATTTAAGCTGAGAATTTAACAAGTTTTTAGACAGTGGTAGAGCCGCGCGGCAGCTTTTGCTGTCGCACGGATGGGCCGGCTCGAACCGGGGCGGTACCACGACCTCAGCACAGAATACCAGCGTGAAGTAGAGGTTTACCTCTGCGTTTCGCTTGGTGAGTGCAGGTGGCCTGAGGCCCTTTTTACTGGAAATGAAGCATTCCATCTTAGTCCTCACGGGTGGTAACGCATCTGCATTTGGATTCACAAACGAGGATAGATGTAGATGTCTATGGGCCGCAGCAACCACTTACCATCAGGTGGACTGTGTGCTCGTTTGTCACCCTTATCCTGTAAAAAAAAGTCATAAACTAAAGCTATAACGAACAAGTGGGCTAAACAAAAACAAGGATATCAATTACCGATGGGCATTGAATGAACTAACTAGTTAGTTCGATCGTCGACGTACTGTGAACGGGTAGACGGTTTAGAAACAATCAATGGACTAGTCTAATCTTTAGACGGCTGGAAGGCTAAATTGAAACTCCATAACGTTCATTTCGACTAGCACCGCGACGACCGACGCGAGAACGTGGTCGGATAATATTATGTTCGTTGCAATGACATAATTGCGCAAACAAATTAGAACTCTAAATGTAGATGGCGTAAAAGTATAAATAGAAGTTTGCTATTGTGTTAGGTAAAGAAAAGGATGCCGTCATGGTATCATCGTGTGTGCAAAAGAGAAGAGTAACTTATGGTCCGAGAGCTCATGACGCATTTTTCATGAAGTGTTTGATGCATCATGAAACTTTGTTGAAAAGTATCAGTCCACTCAATAAGCAGATATATGAATGTTTGCCTAGGTACACCTGGTACTGCGTATACAGGTTAGTCGCAAAAAACATTGCCCAAAAAAGTGTTTGATTCAAATAATAATAAGACTATCCGTCAGCTGTGAAAGTTAAGAAAAAAAGTGGCAAACACCTCCACCAGGGGTTGACATAGGGGCAAACTACACCAAAGTTTTATTTTGAAAAATTCCAAAAAAAGCGTTTGATTTAATCTGCCATTTATACAGCGTGCTTATTATATATAAGTAATAAAAAATTCTCACAAAACGGCAGGTTAATCATTTAAAAATGTGTAAATAAATCTTGCGTGGACAGGAGACAAATGTGCTATGGGTTGTAATGAGTGCGACAGAGAGCGACGGTCGCCGATTTGTCCTTAGTCATTCTTCGCGCTCCCATTGCGGATCACGTGATCTTGTACAGTTGTTACAAATGAAATGTAATATATGCATAAGCATGATATTACACATAGTATGACTATAATATTATTTTTTATACTTTAAAATATTTATATATGTGGCGGATTGGGATTATTTTACTAGATATAGTGGACTGTATTGAGAATCTAAATCCCCTGAAACGTTCAGTTACCGCAGTCACAAAATCACACCAAAAACAGCAACAAACTACTCACGGTCTTACTAGCCAGCCTCCCAAGATCAGCAAACGTTGACAGCTCCTGGTAGCTTCTTCTACACGGTAGAATACACTAGCAATTAGATTGTACACGGTACACTCTGGAGTAGTCCCTTTTTTTAAGTTTTTGGAGAGATGTTCACATCACGAACACAAAGAGAATGTGTATGGCTTGTCTCGCCTCCTACCCTCCTCTTCTCTTTTTTTTAACTTCACAGATTATTACAACGCATATTACGTCGCAATGTTGCCACTAGGTGTGACCGGCGCTCCGATCGTAGCAGATCATTGTGCCTCGGTATAAATTTTGTGAGTTGCGGTTTATTACTGAACACACCCCCCACCGAAACCATCTTGATGGTTTCTCCTAACTATATGAAAAAGATATTAGAGAAAATATTATAACTTAAGCTACGGAACATGCAAAATAACGCTGAGACACAGAATGTCCTCAACGAGAAAAAAAAAATATTAATACACGTAAAAACTAATTTGAATAAGGTAGAGGACTCAGTTTATTAACTGGTCTCTGTAGAGTACTCTTTTGAGTGCGAAGCGTAACACAACGAACAATCCCATCTGGACCGGGGTGAAGAGCCTCAATTCTACCCAAAGGCCAATTGCACGGCGGTACATTATTAGTTTTTATGATTACGAGATCACCTATTTTTATATTAGATCTATCCGAATGCCACTTTGCTTTCTGTTGCAGCGTATTTAGATATTCGTGACTCCATCTACGCCAAAACATTTGTGAACATTTTTGAATATATTGCCAACGTGATAATCGATTTATTGTTATATCCTCTACATTATACTCAGGTACTGCTGTTAACCCTTTTCCAATTAGAAAGTGTCCCGCAGTCAAAACGTTGAACTCATCAGGATTATCACTAGCTGGTAACGGACAAAGCGGCCGCGAGTTGAGAATCGCTTCTACTTTACAAAACACTGTTGTGAGTTCCTCGAACGTCAAACTTTTTTCTCCTACGGCTCGCGTTAATAGATACTTGGCGGATTTAATTCCAGCTTCCCAGAGCCCACCCATATGTGGTGCACCAGGGGGATTAAATCTCCATATAATTTGTCGTTTTGAGCAACCCTCTAATATATTGTTTTTTTGTTCGAGCATAAATCTTTGTACTTCGGTTAAATGCTTACTAGCAGCTATGAAATTAGTTCCGCAATCCGAATAAAGGAAGGAGCACACACCGCGTCGCGCTACAAATCTGTCTAAACACGCGAGGAAACAGTCCGATGACAACGACGATAAGACTTCAAGGTGTACAGCTTTTGTCGAATAACAAATAAATAATGCTAAATATGACCGTTCAACCCTAGCATTTCGTCGTAAACTTTCTTTTGTAAAGAACGGACCACCGAGGTCCACCCCTACATGCTCAAAAACATTACAAGGTATCAATCGGGCTGCTGGCAAAGGTGCCATCTCAGGCTGTAAGAGCACTGGGTTGTGTTTAAAACAAATTTTGCATTTGGACAAAACTGACCGAATAATGCGACGGGATGCTAAAATCCAAAAATTTTGATTAATAATGTTTTGTAAGGTGCGTGGACCTACGTGTAAATATTTTTTATGTAAATATTCAATAAGTAAAAAGGTAAATCTACTATTTTTAGGTAATAAACGAGGATGCTTCGCGTTATAAGGTAACGCTGAATAATTTATTCGACCCCCCACCCTGAGGTATCCGCGTTCGTCAATAAATGGAGATAATTTTCTCAACGACGGAACGTACTTTGTGCCCTTTGACAATCTATTTATTTCATTTGCGAAGTATGCACTTTGTACTAATTTAATTAAAACATCTTGGGCAGTATTTAATTCGTTAGTCGTCAGTATTGATTGCTTCGAGTGACCGGATTTGAGTCGGAACCATCTCAATATTCGAGCAAACGTACGTTGCAGTTTATAATAAGAAGAGAAATTGGAAAAGATTCGGTCACAGAACTCTAACTTAGTCTCCTCTATCGAATTATTTTCATTTGTGATTAAATTGAAGGAGCCTAATGTATGATTTGATTTCATTTCGGGTGTATTACTTTCATGTTGGTTGATAAATGTTCTCACTGGCCACTGCGAATAGTCGTCGTACAACCAAGATGGGCCCTTCAACCACTGCTCACTGCACTCCACGAGCTGTGACGGAGACGCTCCGCGCGAGCATATGTCTGCCATATTGCACTCACTACTCACGTGACGCCAACAGTGTGGAGGTAACACTTCACATACCTGAGTAACACGGTTACTAACAAACGGCTTTAATTTGTAAGCTTCTGTCTGAAGCCACGTCAACACGATAGTCGAATCGGTTAACGCAGTAATACGAGTAATTTTTACACGAGTTAAAATGTCACGGACATATCTAATTAATTTGCTTAACAAAACTGACGCCATTAATTCCAACCTCGGGATAGTTAATGGTTTGACGGGGGCTACTTTAGATTTTGCCGTCACCAGGCGTACTTTAGTTTGACCTCTATCGTTACGACTGATCACATACACACAACTAGCATAACCGCGAGAGCTTGCATCGCAAAAGGCGACCAATTCACATTCGGTCTGTTCTGGTAGCAGCATATGTCTATCTATCTTGATTGCCGTTAGTCGCGGGAGATCATCAACGTAATTAAGCCAGCGCTTAGTTACGTCAGTTGGCAGCTGCTCATCCCATCCTATGCCCAGCTTCCATAAATCTTGCATTATCTCTTTCGCGATGAAAATGCACGGTGAAATAAAACCCACGGGGTCGTAAATAGAAGCTAATAATTTTAAAACAGAACGTTTAGTTGTTACTTTATCAGTCTTATCTACTGTGAAATAAAAACAGTCAGTCAAAGGGAACCATTTCAGACCTAGCACTTTGACTGAATATTCGTTACCATCTTTCATAAATGTAACAGGACACTCTCGGTTTTCTAACGGAACGCGTTGTAAAACTTTTGCACTATTACTCGCCCACCTTTTGAGTATAAAGCCACCGGAATTAAACATCTCTAAAAGTTCATCTTGTAACCGAGATATCTGTGACAATGAACTACAAGAATATAGAATGTCATCCATGTACACGCCCTCGCGCACAACCTTTGCAGCGAGTGGGAAACGTTCTTCCTCGTCATAGGCTAACTGTAAGAGGGTGCGGATAGCTAAGAACGGTGAGCAACTTAAGCCGTAAGTGACAGTTTTTAATTCATAAACGTCAATGGCATCGTTAGGCGAATGACGATACAAAATATGTTGATAACATCTATCTGACTGATTCAGTTTAATTGCCCGATACATTTTGCATACGTCACAAATCAAACAATATTCAAACAACCTAAAATTCAATATTATAGCCCCAATATCTCGATACAGATTAGGCCCGGTCAATAGAATATCATTAAGCGAAACGTTCGTGGACGTTTTAGCCGAGGCATCGAATACCACACGCAA